AGAGAGTGTGAGAGAGAGAGAGAGAGAGAGAGAGAGAGAGAGAGAGAGAGAGAGAGAGAGAGAGAGAGAGAGACTGAGGTAGTTTAGTGATATGGAAAAAAAGAGAGTTATATAACAAAATATTAATTAGAAGTTGACCTTCTCTCTTTGGCTTTTTGTTTAAATGCTTGATGTCACTGATAATTTGTGAAATGCACTTTTAGTTTTGTATTGAAAGTATTCAGGATTAAGATATGTTTTTAATAATTTGACACAGACGATTCCAAAATTTGGGTCCAGACTTTGCATTTGTCTTGACCCTATTTTCGTATGTAAATTTTGTAAATGAGTTTGCACGTGTCATGTTGTAATTTCTATTAGAATTGTATCAATTTTAGTCTGTTCATAAATGAGTTATGTGTTTAAATTTGTCTATAGTGCCTATTGCTACTCAAAGCAAAAAATGTGATTTTTGTGTTTCTACATTTTGCATTTGAATTTTGTTAGTTGAACCCCCTATGATAGATAAGTTTTTAATAATACTGAGAGTAATGATGTGTTCAATAGCAATTCTTGTTTCGACAGTGGGATTTCGTTTTTAAAGTATTGTAAGTATATCAAAATGATCACTACTTTTCTGCAGATGTTGTCAAGGTTATATATATCTATATGTACTGCTAGATTTTTAACTGAAATGCTTGGGAGAAAGAGAGAGAGGGAGAGAGAGAGAGAGAGAGAGAGAGAGAGAGAGAGAGAGAGAGAGAGAGAGAGAGAGAGAGAGAGAGAGAGATGAAGATGAATAAGCTGATAAAAAAGAAAGACGGAGATAAACACTGAGAGAAAGGAAGAGGGTGATGAAAGTAAGAGACAGAAGGAGAGAAATTATTTTTAAAAAGGATAATGATATTAACTATCAATCGCATTAATCCAAAAGTCCAAAACTTTTTGTAATGTATTATCTTATAAAATATGAACTAGCTTACAGAATTCTTTCCATCATTCTATCACAATTACCCTTACTTATTATCAAATTGAAATATTAGTTACCTTTAAACACGCACTGAAATTACCGAAAATGTATTTTAAAAAAGTAAAACTTGTTAACATCCATACAATTATTCTTCAGCAACCACAACCGCTTCCCAACAACCAACGAAAATGAAATCTCAGGTTTTTGAAGTCGCTGCGGTCGTGCTGGCGGCGATGGTCGTGTCATGCTCCGCCCACAGCATCGGTTTCGGGGCGTGTCCTAAGCTCAAGGGCATGAAGAACTTCGAGCCAGGCAAGGTATGGGCTATTCGAACCTTATCTTTTTTTTCCTTATTGTTTCGTGTCAAAACCTATTAACTTACCGATACTAACTGATTTTTATTTATTTTTTTAGTCATTATGGCTATTCGAAACTGATAAGTTGATCCCCCGTTACTTAATATTATTGTTCTTATTATTTTTTATTTGTTTTTTTTTAAGTCAGTATTATTATTATTAACTTATTATATAATCTTTTTTCTTATTGTTTTGCTGGGAGTTAAAGTCGTTATTGCTATTCGAACCCATTAAGTGATCTTCTTTTGTTTTTCTATTGCCGGGTTTACCGAGGGTTTAAAGTCATTATGGCTATCCGAACTTAATGACTGATTAAAAAATATATATTATTGATGGTTTTACTGACGGTCTGTCTTTATGGCTATACGAAATATTGACTGCTTTTTTATTGCTGGTTTTACTAAGCGTTATAGATATATTTGTTGATGAGCTGCCTGTTTATTTGCCTGTCGTTATATTCGTAAATCTACACATTCAGAATCATTGCAAAGTAGAGTAGTAGCCTTTTCCTTCATCGTTTTTATTGGGTTATTTATTCACCCATCGTCCTGTTAATCAATTTATTCATTCCTCTATATATTTCTTTATCTTTTTTTTTAACCAAATCTTGCAAAAACACTAAATACAAAGAATCAGCGTTCGAAACTGTCAATACATGGTCGTTTGAGAAAATTGAAAATTGTTATACGTGAACTGATTCGTATCATCGAAGGATATTGCCGGTTCTAAGACAAAAAAAAAAAAAAAAAAAAAAAAAAAAAAAAAAAAAGAGCATAGCCTTGTGAAAACCTTAATTGCCTTAACAGTTTCCGGTCGCTTTAGTGGGGAATCTAACAGTTTTTTTCTAACTTAAAAGATGATATATTAAGGAGTGATTTCAGTCCTATCGAAGAACTTTAGAAAACATTAAGCCAAAGTAATTTAAGGAAGTCTTGGCGTTAGAAAGTTTGAATAATCGTAGGTATCTCGTTTTAGAAGAAACAATTAATGAGCATTTTATCTGATGAAAAAATACAACATCTTTATACGTGGTTAGTTTGCTTCTCTATCGTTAATATTAGACCACAAAATATGAGTTAGACTTAATCCATTACTATGGATCAGACCAGTTTTTAGATTAGAACAACAACGTTTTAGAAATGGAAAATATATTGTTGGTTTAAATTAATATAAACTCAATGAAGAGTTTCTGAATTTACCCCCCCCACCCTCCTTTAAAAAACGTAATGTGGTAGTATTACAAAATTTAGGAAAAGGTAATATGTTGAGCATTGATATAATTGTTTGAGTAAAAGAACTCAAATACTCAAAAGCTCACAAAATGTAAAATCAATCCGAAACATCTAACGACAAAAAAGAATCTTAAACATTTTTCTTTTTCTTTTTTTTAAACAAATATATCAGTCCAAAAATATAAAAAAAAACAAAAACAACCAAGAAACTAAATTTTAAAAATCAGTTCGCAGGTTTCTGGTACGTCATCGAGGTGTACAGTACGTTCAGTCGCTGCCTGACCCTCGACTTCGCCCGCATAAGCAAGGACGACTTCAAGGTGACGGAGGGCAAAGAGTACGCCGTAGCCCAATTCGTCGGAATCGAACACGTCTTCTCGAACACGGGGATCTATGCCTCGAGAGCGCCCAAGGAGCCCGCCAAATTTGAAGTCAAGTGGTCCAATAGTAAGCGATTTTTTTAAGATTCTTTTACTCAAAGATAGATGGGTGTATAAAAGAATATATATATATATATATATATATATATATATATATATATATATATATTTATATCTATATATATATAAATACATACATACACACACACACAAGCACACATACATATATATGTATATATACATATATATACATATATATATATATATATATATATATATATATATATATATATATATATATATATATATAGAGAGAGAGAGAGAGAGAGAGAGGAGAGAGAGAGAGAGAGAGAGAGAGAGAGAGAGGAGAGAGAGAGAGAGAGAGAGAGATTAACAGTCACCCGCACCATTATTATTTTTAAACAGATTTCAACAGCTGTGTGTGTGTGTGTATGTGTGTGTGTGAGTGCATATATTTATAAACATATATACACATGTAATATATATGTATATATATATATATATATATATATATATATATATATATATGTATATATATATATATATATATATATATATATATATATATGTGTGTGTGTGTGTGTGTGTGTGTGTGTGTGTGTGTGTGTGTGTGTGTGTGTGTGTGTGTGTGCATATATTTCTATACTTATATACACATGTAATATATATATATATATATATATATATATATATATATATATATATATATATATATATATATATGTATGTATGTATGTATATATACATATATATATGTATGTATGTATGTATGTATATATATACATATATATATATATATATATATATATATATATATATATATATATATATATATATGTGTGTGTGTGTGTGTGTGTGTGTGTGTGTGTGTGTGTGTGTATGTGTGTGTATACACACACACACATCCCACTACCCACCCGGGTTGCTTCCAAGTCCAACCCGTCTAGAGCGGATCCAAAAATCTTTGCAGACCTCCTCGGTACAGCTGACGGCACCATCATAAACACAGACTACGAACAGTACGCGGTCGTGTTGGAATGCCAGCGCGTCTTTTACTTCATGAAGAGAACGTCAGCCGCGATTCTCAGCCGGAGTCGGAAGCTGGATTATGAAATTATCAGGAAAGTAAGTTTGACTGATGGTTTTGACGAGGGGAAAGATAGGGCAAGGCGTCTCAGAGTCGATTGACATTTATTATGATTAGATGTCAATGGCGGAGACGCGTTTGATTGAGATGTCTTCGGGGCTGATGGCTTCCTCTTTCTCTTTTTCTCTCTCTCTTTTTCTCTTTCTTTTATTTTTTTTTCTGTATTCCTCGTTCTTTCTATCTATCTGTCTGATTATCTCTTAATGGCTGTCTGTTTCTCTCTCTCTCTCTCTCTCTCTCTCTCTCTCTCTCTCTCTCTCTCTCTCTCTCTCTCTCTCTCTCTCTCTCTCTCTCTCTTCTCTCTCTTCTCTCTCTCTCTCTCTCTCTCTCTCTCTCTCTCTCTCTCTCTCTCTCTCTCACTCTCTTTTTCTTGATCTCGCTTTAGCTATTACTATATTTTTTCTTTTCATCTATTTTTTCATTCTTTTACTCTTATTTTTTCTTTCTCTCATTTCTTCATTTTTCTTTCTTATTCTCAAGTTCATTTAGTCTTTCCTCTTTCTCCGTCTTTTCTCCTTTCTTTGTCGCCTCCGTCTCTGCTTTCTTTCTCTCCTTCCTCTGTTTCTATTCTTTCATTTTATCCATTCTTTCTTTCTTTTTCGTTTCCTAAAAAAAAATCTTCATATCTATCTCTATCATCTTATTTTCTTCCCGTCTCTCATTATTTTTCATTAACTATTTTTCTTGTTCTGTCTTCTCGTTTTTCTTTCTCTCCTCCTTTCTGTCTCATTATTCTTCGTTTACTTCTTTTTCTTCTTCTTCTTTCTTCCTCTCTTTCTCAATGCAAATCAAATATTCGTTGTTATTCACATTCATTCACATTTATTCACATATTTGCATTTGTATTGTAAGATTAAACACTGAGTTAGAAGAAATATATAAAACAGGAGAGAGAAAGCGAGTGAGAGAAAGAATGAATTCACAGGAAAAAAGGATATTACACGATTCATTCTCTGTGGTATCTCCTCCTCCAGAGATATAGATAGATAGATAGATAGAGGTGGGGAGGGAGAGGGGTAGGGGGAGGGAGAGGGAAGGAGGGATAGAGAGAGGGAGCGAGGGAGTAGGAAAAGGAGAAGGAGAAGGACAGGGACAAGGACAGTGACAGGAAAATGGAGAAGGAGAAGGAGAGGGAGAGGGAGAGTGAGAGAGAGAGAGAGAGAGAGACAGAGAGAGAGAGAGAGAGAGAGAGAGAGAGAGGATAAGTGAGAGAACAAAGAGAAAGGGATGTCGAGAACGCACGCTAACACCCCCCCACCCCCCCCCCCTCCGCCTTGCAGCTCAAGCAGGACCTGTGCAAGACCTACAACCTGAACATCCAGAACTTCGAGGCGGTGAGCCAGGACCGGTGCGCCACCACGCCCCAGGACACCGCCCACCAGAAGAGGATGAGTCTCATGGGCGGCAATGGCAGGGTCTCCGGTTTCGCCCAATACCCGCCCACGATCCTCTCCTCCCCCAGGAACACGACGAAGCCACAGCCGACGAAGCCAGCTGTCCTAAAAAGCCTTCAGCCTTCCCGACCATCCGGGACGAAGCCTCAGCCGACACGACCCACCCCTGCGAAGAAGCCACAGCCTGGGAAGCCTACTCCCGCGCCGAAGCCTCACGTCCCGAGCAACTCTTCCTCGACGAAGCCCCCTCCCCTTCGGCCAACCCCCGGCAGGAAACCCGAGTCCCTCCGGCCGAGGAATGCCACTTCGTCCAAGCCTCCGACCAAGAGACCTGCGCCGACGAGGAAGCCGCCGGTTTCGAAAAACTCGGGTACAACGAAGCCTCAGCCTCGGAAGCCCACTGCTGCCACGCCCTCCAAAGCCACCACGCCGAAGCCAGCGAAGTCTCAGCTTGCTAAACCAACCCCGGCGAAGCCCTTGGCCAAGAACGCCTCCCGCCCTCCCCCTCGACCTCCCCTACCCACCGCCCCGACGAAGCCCGGGGCCAGGACTCCCCAGGCCCCCCCAAGCACAAACCAACCGCCGAAGGGAGGCAAAGCCAAGCCCCCGAGGCCGCCCCCGCCTACCCGGAAGGCCTCCCCACCACGCCCCTCGAAGCCTACAACCCCAAGGACGACCCCGCAGCCGCCACGGGCCTCGTCCACGCAGAAGGCCTCCGCGAGACGACGAGACGTGGCGGCGAGGCCTCCGTCGGCGCCGAGGAACGCCAAGGCTTTCCGGCCCACGGCGGGGTGAGCGCGCGAGGTAGCTTTTCCGTGTCCGTTTGATTATGTGTACTATTTTTGTTATTTGTCTATATACCCTCACGCACACACACACACACACACACACACACAAACTTGTTTTTGTAATATACTCGAACAAAATAACTTACATTTTTTTTTTACATTTCTCTGTTAAAACTATTTTATGTGCAACCATAGAGTGATTTTTTTGTCATCTCTGCTGTTACTCAGGGTGAATAGTCTAAGGCATTTTCGGGTTACAAACATAGTTGTTATAAGTAATGTTTTTTTCTACCCCGATGCACCTGTAATTAAATAATGTTATACGGATTTCTATGGACAATTTGTTTCAGTGTTTTAAGTTATGTGTATGTTATTGTATTGAGATTTTAATGTAGTTAAGATGTTATATTAGTGTTTAAGTAACATGTAGTTTTAATACCAAGCACGGTGTCGTTATATAAATAGTAGTTAATCACTTTTGCTTTGGTGAATCTCCTTTATATTATGGAATATGCTTTCTGGATACTTTTGTTGTGTGTGTGTGTGTGAGTGTGTGTGTGTGTGTGTGTGTGTGTGTGTGTGTGTGTGTGTGTATGTGGACGTTTAGGTATTCGCTAAATCTTATGCATCGATTAATCTTTGCACTCCATCCCATCTACAAAAAAAAAAAATACTTCACAGATAACAGCCTCTTTTAATATCGTCCAAAACTAGCAAAAAAAAAAAGAAAAGAAAAAAAAAATATTGGCTAACAGGAATTCACAAAGGACAATTATTCCTTTGTTGACAGAGAACTGGACAATGACTAAAATATTGCGTCATTCACGGGTTTGTTTAACTTTGTAAGGCATTGTTCAGCGTTGGTACAGGAAAATGACTTCGGTTTTGGTGCTGTTAAGTGGGATTCGTGAAAATATTTTATTTTTTATTTGCCTGGACACTGCGATAGCTTGGAAAATCGCCGGTACTTTATAGAATGGGATTTATCTTTTAATAGCTGTTTATCTTTTAATAGCTGTTCTCTTTAGGGTGATTGGTTAAGTCCATGCTTAAAATTAAGACTTAAACTTTACCGTGAAATACCTATCCATAGATACGTGTGTGTGTGTGTGTGTGTGTGTGTGTGTGTGTGTGTGTGTGTATGTGTGTGTGTGTGTGTGTGTGTGTATGTACATAAATAAATATATATATATATATATATATATATATATATATATATATATATATATACAT